TTAAGATGCTCGCCACGGTAAATCGATTTACCGTGGCGGGCATCCTATAAGGCCCGTCACGTAAAATGCTGGCCCAATTTTGAGCCCAAATCAGCCGATCTACTGGGCTTCATATAAAAGGGAGGTGTTAGGGTTTCACCAGCTTGGCACCACCGCACCCTCTCCCTCCCCCTCGCCATGAGGCGGCCATGGGCGAAGGACTCTCGCAGCGGTGGTGGAGCTCGCCCTCCCTCACTCCTCTCCTCCCATCTCACCGCACCCCTCTCCTTCCACTCCCGTCTCCCTCCTCCTCACCTCTCTCTCTCTCTTCCCTCCCTCCTCCTCTTGGCAGGTGGTGGTGGAGCTCGCCGTGGTGGCCTCGGGCTTGAAGGTGCGCGGCTCGGCCTCGTCGGCCGAAGGCTCGGCGTTCCGGAGAGGAGGCGTGGTGTCGCGGGCATGGCCGGCCTCTCGGCGTGGCCTGGAGGCGCGGAGGCTCGGGGCGGAGAGCGGCGCGAGCGTGGCCGGCTCGCCAGCGGTGGGGGAAGGCCGGATCCGGCGCCCCTCCACCTTCTTCCCTGCCACCAAGCATGGATCGGGTCGCAGCGACCCCTTGGCGGCGGATCCGTTCGCGGGGGTGGGGGGACAGATCGAGCATGGCGTGGCGGATCCGATCATGGGCGGTCGAGATCGATCGTGTGGATCGGCGGCGGCATGACGGCCGGCCGGGCGACAGCCTCCTCCATGGCCTCACGGCGGATCCAGCTCCCTCGTCGTCCACGGCGCGGGTCCGACCTCCTCTTCGTCCACGGCCGCGGATCCGGTCTTTCTGCGCTCCATGGCCGTAGATCCGGCGAGGTCGTCCTCCCTGGCCGCGGATCCGGCGAGGATGACCTCTCCGGTGGCGGATACGGCTAGGAGGAGACCCGTGGCGGATCCGGTGAGTGCGTGTGGCGCTGGTATTGGGCTGGGAACGGGCTCGTCGGTGGGCTCGAGAATGGGCTCGCCGACGGGCTCTGGTTTTTTTTTTTTAAGCTATTATTATGGCGGGCATCCTAAAAAAGAGCCGCGCCATGAAATCGATTAACCATGGGCGCGGCAAAGCCGCCCGCCTGCAGTTAAGCCACGATTTACCGTGGCCTCTAGGCCGCGGCGGACGGCTTTGCCCGCCGCGGGAAACCAAAAACGCCGCCTCCAGTAAAGTTTGTGTAGTAGTGTTCGTGCCGCATTGCCCTCCGTACCACAAAGAGTAAAGGATGTCATTCCCACTTCTCGAGAAATCAAATGTTTTAATCTTTAATCAAATATATATAACAAAATATTAATATTTATGGTTCATAATTGGTATCATGAAATAAATCACTAAATATATTTTTCATAATAAATTTATTTGAAGATATAAATGATGCTAAAATTTTATAGAAATATAGTCAAACTTAAGCACCATAGTGACACTCTTTTTTTAAACCAGGAACCACACTCCTTCATAGACGTCGGGAGACCATCGATGAAAAGGGACTGTGGAAAGCTTGAACCCAAGTTATACATTTGTATATAAACAAGTACTAAATAAGAAAAAGAAAACTATGGGTGCGTTTGGTTCGCTGCCGCACCTTCGCACCGTATTTTTGGCGCACCTTTGGTTCGCAGTGGCATGCCGCGGCCTCGCTGTCGTATTCCAGTTTTTTTTATGCCAAAACGCGCCGCAATGCGGCGGACGAACTCAGCACCGGCGGAGGCATGGCATTCAGAGGCATGAACTTAAGGCTTGTTTTTTTTTAGAAGACTTCACCGGAGGGGGGAGAGCCCCACCTGAATGATTTTCCATAGATTCCGGCAAGCCGGTAAATGGAGGGTGCCAGGCACTTAGAGTTTACATGGTGTTAATCGTACAGGGCATTAATTCATGACAAATAAATTACACCAGTGATCAACAATGGAACGGTCTTGGGAATGAAGGCGGCTGCTCCATAGGCGACATGTTTCCGCATTTGTCACTGAGAGGCGGCTCGCATGGGGTTGCTAATGGCGAAAAGACGACGTCGTGGCGATGGTTCCAAATCGCCAAAGAACACGGTAGTATCATCATCGGGAAGTGCTTAGCGGGATATGTGGTGGCCGTGGCATCTCCCATAGGTGAGTTGGCTCGGAAGGTTGACCCTGATCCACCAATATGATTCCGAAAGTCAGAAGGAACCAGCAGCGGAAGATGAGGTGATCGGCGGTCTCTGCGCATTACCAGAGTTGGCAAATGTCGTCGTCGAGGACATGCTTGAGGTGGAGGTTATAACAACCTTTGTATGCGGTTGTTTACCAATAACCGGCCGAAAAAAACGTACCACAGGGGTGCTCGGTTTCTCCAAACGAAGCTAGAGAAATTGCACGGGAGCCCATGGTCTTGGATGCTCGATACACGGTGAAGCATGGAGAGTTCGGTGGGCGGCAAATTTGGAATATCTTTGTCCGGAGCTTGTGTTAAAGTGATGTTCTTGATCATTTCATTGAGGGCATGCAGCTCTTCACTTGCTTGGGGTGACAGCCTGGAGACCAACATCGGTTGCAAACCGATGGTGAGGACCTCGGAGGCAGAGGCATCCGGCTTCGTGCAGTGGGAGAAAAGGACTTAAGGCTTGTTTGGTTACTATACTGGCCTGGGGAGGCCTGGCCAGGCAGCTCGCTCAGCCGCAGGCGTAGGAAAATGAACGCCTGAGATCCTTGCCTGGCGCAGGCAACTTTTCCAGGTTACAAAGCAAACACGCCCGCCCTATATGCGAGTTTGTGCCGTTTTGCGGTCACCGATAGGTGTCTATCCAACACTTCAGCCAAGTGTACTAGCCAGTACTCAGTAGTCAGTAGGACTGAAGATTTATGAAGCTAAAGGAGAAGAAGATTTATGGTTGCCAATTGCCAGTCAGCCTTGACCGGAGAGATTAAGCTAGTCAAAATGGTGGAATCACGTACTGTTTTAATAAACAAATTCTTGAGTCTTTGAGCACCAGTAATAGTTAGAAAGAGATAATTAGTGATCAGTTACACTCACCGTTTCAGAAGTATGTTTTAGATGTTTTATATGGATGTTGCAATGGTAGTTTTTGGATGTTGCACATGTTGCAATGGTTATACACGTACGTTGCAAGAGTTTGTTCAAAATGTTTCATCTGTTTCAGACGCATGTTGCAAGTGTTTTACCTAGATGTTGATGTTGCAATGGCTATGTTGCAATTGTATGTTCCAAATGTTTCATCTGTTTCAGACGTATGTTGCAATTATTTCATCTAAGTGTTGCAAAAGTAGATTTGGATGTAGGGTTGTTGAGCGAGGAAGAGAGAGCTAGCGCGGGAGCCATGGCGGCGTTGATGTGGGGAGGAGGCGCAGGGCGCGCAACGCCGGTGTGGAAGAGGCGGGGGGAGTCATCCGAGCAAAAAGAGGTGGGCGCAAAGCGATGTGGAATAAGCGGGCGAGGCGCCGGTGTGAAAGAGACAGGGCCGAGTCATACAGACGCCATGGGCAGCGGAGCAGAAGGGAACGGTCCAAACGCGGACGTGGGAAGCGGAGCTGGCTCCGGGCGGCGGAGCTGACGTGAGCAGCGCGCGAATCCAAAAGATCAGGGCGGAGCAGGCGCGAGCATCAGCGCAACTAGCCACACGTCCGGGCGCAAGTCTTTGTGTTGTTCCAATCATACCGTTGCAATTCTTTTTGGAGAGGAGTATCCAGCTCCAGTCCAGTCCGCTCTGAGGCTGGCAAGAGGCTCCACTCGCCAGCTCCCCGTGGGTCTTTTGACCGGCCCACCCATGTCCTGACGGAGCAATCTGACCTGGGACTTAATCTGGCCTTCCTAAAAAGGCGTGTAAAGCGGTGAACTTTTTGGTAGACGTCCAGCCATGCTGCATGCGCACTTGGCTAGCTAGTACCACAGTGGCACCGAGGACCGAGCCGTTGCGCCCAGCCTGCCCGAGTGACCCGACCCAAGCAAAGCCTTTCATTTGAAACGGACATGGTTGGCACCAGGCAGCAGGCACCCAAGCCCAAATCCCCGTCGCTTCCAATTCTTTCCTCAGTTGTATTTTTCTTTTGAGGAATCCTTTCCTCACTCCTCAGTTCTAGCCTTCCAGGTTGTAGCTGCCCAAACCCACACCACAGGGCCCTGCTCTACCTGTAGCCTGCCCGAAAAATGGAAGGGGACGCGGTTCTTTCGAGCATGGATTCCCTGTGGTTCTACTCCAGCGTCTTCCTCCGGCCGTCCTCCAAGCACAAGGAGAGCGAGTGTGCAGAAGAGCCGCAGCAAGATTCGGCATCAGAAACCAACAAGACGACCAGCGGCCGCCCTTGCCAGGCCCCCAAATGCGTCAAGGAGGCAGCGGCGCAAACGGGGCGAAGAGCAGAGCGCGCAACGGTGCGAATTGCGGCTGCGAGGGGCTGCAGCTGGGAGTGGGATGAGCGCATGGTTGCTTGGCAGAAGGAGCATAGGTGGCGGGCGCGCGTTGCTGCGGCGGCCCGAGCCCGGTGCTCGCAGGCGACGATGCCGCCGCCCGGAGAAGGCGTGGCCATGAAGGCGCATCTCAAGTCGTGGGCTCACGCGGTCGCTTGCTCCGTCAGATAAGGGTTCTCCATTCAGAACCTAGGGAAAGTAAATTTTTGATCCATCTCTGAATAATTGCATCTCTTCATGGTTGTAGTTGCGGATTTCTGTGGTTTATTATGCAGTTCGTCTTTCTGGTATGATCACTTGATGCTCAGATAAAGATAACCGATTCATTTGATATAGATTATGATTGTAAGAGTAGCAAGGTGTCACTTTCTGTGTACACTTGTTTTGCATCTGGAATCTGAGGGAACTCTATGGGCAATCAACCCGAGCTATCACAAACAGAGAATTTACAGGTATACCACTATACCATGTGGAATCAGAGAGCAAATACCATACAGGCTGCAGCTCTCTGTAAATGATTAGGCTATACATACATGAAGTAAATAGGGGTTAAGTATCCCTGTAATGTTTCCTAAGATATCTGATTGCTGTGTTCTCACTCCTTGTTGGGCACTGCCTCTGGAAGTTTGAATGTTGGAGGCTTGTCGGCGCCTTTCCTTGAGTACTCTCGCCACCTCCTTGCTGCAGCCGCTGCTCGCTTTGCTCTCTCCTTTGCCTCCTCTTCTGCTTATTGGGTTAGCAGGGACGTTAACAAGGCTTTAATGTGAAGAGTAGAAAACATAAAAAGCATATATGGGCAACTTTTATAAAGACTAAATATGCTAGTTTTACCGTTCTTCTCGTATCTTGTTGGTGCTCCCCAAATATCACTCCATGAGCCACCCTTACTGGAATCATCTTGGCTCATCCGCCTTCTGACCTTCTCCTGCAAGATACATACTAGTTTATAAGAAATGCAGGCAGTTCATATGTCAAAAAAAAAAGTGTCATCATGTTATTCCTTAATGTTATATCTAATGAAGGTTTCTCAAGCAGAAAACTGTACCAGGACTTTGGCTTGTCTTTTCTCCCAGCGTGAGCTTGCCTGAGAAGGCAGAAAACATATTACAAGATGTGAGAAAGCCGTGGCTTGTTTAACTTTGGAAGAAGTGTTATATAACATATCAACTTCAGGAAGTGATTGCATTATCAAATATCAACACAACAACTGTTGCAGAAAAGTGGGTGACCCATTACAAAAGGAGAAGGTTAGGATATGTAAAAAAACAAGAACTGATATATTACCATCCGAAACACATCAACTGAGCCTCCCATCCCAGCAAGCATTAATCCAACCTGTTAAAATTGAAAAAGATTCGTCATATACTAGTAAAAGGTAGGATAACATCTATTGTTGGTTTGAATATAGAAGGGTGGTCCTATTGTTAACTAGCTGCAATCAGAATTAGAAACTCAGAAACATGATCATGCCATCGAAATTATCAGAAAACATAATCGTACATTTACTCTCTCTACTCTGCGCATTTCATCCTCAAGGAGCGAAAGTTGAGCAGCTGAAGTCCAATGAATGCAGTCAACTGGGCTGGACAAAAACGAAAGTTTATCAGAACAGGTAGTCAGAATACAGGACTTGAAACCAAAAGAAATATTTATTTGGCCCACTTTACACCAAATTTTCGGTAGGGATGCTTGGATCATGGATGATTAAGGAACAAAAGTCGAGGCAAAAAGGAAATAAAGATTTTGCCATTCTCACCAACTATCAATAGCTTCCTGAATCAGTTCTGTGCTGCCTGATTGGTCATAAACTCTTGCCCGTCCGAAATCTTCCTCAATTTGAAAGACCTTAGAACACACGTTAGCACAGTTCTTGCATCCTGCAGAGAGATGTGAGTAGAACATAATTAAGAGCTCATTGAATTGAATCCAAATGCAATTTCTGTTCAGGGCAAAACCATCAATACCTATGCAGCTAAACTCATCAACAAATACGTGATCCCGGGGTGCACTGTCATCCAAGAAAGGATTGGTTGCAGTCGCAGCATACCCATGTATCTCATCATACACTGCTCGCTGGATGGGATCGGTAAGCACCTGCTTCACACATAATTGCAATATAGCTCTCCATAAAACATGTTTAGAAAATGGCAGGATTCTATCTGCTAAGACTGTACCGTGTAAACTTCATTGATGAACATGCAGAAATTTGTCATATCAGGGTCATTCCCACTGAGATCAGGATGACAAGATTTCATGCAATTGTAGTATGCTTTCTTGATCTGCTTCGGCGTTGCATCTGGCATCTGCAAGCATGCGAGAATTAAATTCTAAGTGTTCTACAGCAGCTTCAGGGTTGCAACAAACAGCCCCACTGCATAGTATGTTTCTTCTGCCTAACCATTTCAAAATTGCTGCCACAAAGATATATTTTCAAAGTACGAAGAAAAAAAAGTACTGCTTGTTTTCCACTTCTACAAAACTAGACAATTCGAAAGAACGGGTTTATCGCAAGAAAGGTAAACTGCAAAAAAGAATGCTTTCAAGATGGAAACACCTACAACGCCAAGAACAGCGTAATAATCTTCGGCGATTCCCCCCTCCGAGCTGCGGGACTCCGCCGCCACCGCTTTCACCCTCAAGCTCGTTCTTCCCCGCGTCCTCCGGCGCCAGTCCCGGTCTCTTCTTCCGGCCCCAGCCAACCCTGCGATGGCATATCGTTGTGGGCTACCGGAGCACGAGACTGGCGTTGAGGCCGCATGGAACTTGGTGCCGGTGTCCGCGAGCAGCGGTTTGGAAAGGAGAGGAGCCATCGGATGAGAGGGCAGCGTGTATTGGATCTGGCTCCGGCGAGAGAGAGATGGAGGGAGGGAGGGAGGAGAAGGCGGTGTGGATCCGGTGAGGTTCGCCCTGCTCTGCTTTCCCGTCCGTTTTCTTGGCGGTTGGCGCCCGGTGCTTGTTTGATTTTTCTCCGCCACTCCTCTCCCGCGATTTTTCTCTGCCGTTTGGTAATATATGCCATATCCACCTTGCCGATAATCGTATTTTGCGTTTGCTTCCTTCAACTTTCTTCGGAAATCGGAACGATCCGACAGCGACATGTCCCACTAAACATTGAAGAATGTCGGAAGATGTCCCGCTATGCCAATATATGCATGTTTTCTTGCCCAAAATTGTTGAGGGGAAGAAGAGGGTTGTGCCTGGGCTGTACTGAAGAGTTCGGCGGAGAAATGGATCGTGCATAATATTCCCGGCGACGATAAAATCTCAATTTGTTGGTGATATATTGCATCCTCAGTGTCTCTACTTTTGCATTTTATGACCTTATTATCTTCCAGAGCAGAGCCCACAATTGTCATGTAAAAATCCTTGGATGAGCGCATGGGCCCTCATGATTTTGCCACAGGTTGTACACCACACAAATAACTAGGACATTTTTGTCTTCAACCAGAAAGGAAATTCATTTTATGTTCTTTTGGAGGGCAGATTGTGAAAAATGATCAATTACATGGATCACGATGGATAAGAGGGAATAGCCTCAGCTGGAACGACATGTCCCTTTCCATCAGGTAGCGATTGATGCAGTGATCGCTAATACAGAACACTGTCAGGAAACAAGCCGAGCATGTCTAATAAGAGGCTTTCTATGTAACTTTTTATCACGAAGTTTAGAAACAGATAAAAAAATTAGGCTAGGTTGTCTAAACTATATCCATGTACTGTTCATCTCGCTGAAAAGCCAGGCTGAAAAGTACTGTTCGTTGATTTGTTGTGAGAGAAAAACGTTGTACCATGACTGATAAGCAGGTGATATTATCCTTCTCACTAAGAGAGGCTACGTCGCTATATAATAGTTCTCTCAGAATCATTATAAGTATTTCTAGACTGGAACTGTGGTAGCCTGGTAGGGAAGGAAGAAATAGAATCACGATAAACTACTTGGGCGACGATTCTGATCCCTATAGTAAACACAAAAGAAAAGAAACACTAGAATCAATGTTCGTGTTCATAACTAGCTAGATCGATCCCTTGTGCGACTGTTTGGTAGAACCGATTCATCCATCCAAACGGGTCTAGTACATCGCAGTAGCTCACACATGCTGCTTTGAATTCTCTGCTCTTGGCCTCTTGGGGATCCATTTTGATGTACTTCCTAGACTGCTATAAAGAAGCAGATCTGCAGATGCAGCCCGTAATTTAATTTTTGTCATGCAAGAACAAGCTTCTTCAGGCATCGTGCTGGCCTCTGCTCGCGTAGGCTTCAATCACAGAAAAGACGGTTGGGATCAATTGCACCAGTGGGCACAATCCCAATGGCCACCTACTAATTTCGGCTTATATTCTATGAACTCGCGGAAATACTCCATTCTCTCTTAACTGGTACCAAGTTGAAAAAGGTAAATGGATGCCGGCTATGGATTCTTCCCTCCAGGGACTTTTTTCTATCTACTACTAGATACAATATGAAAATTACTCTACCTTAAGGTAAACTGGAAAAAGGAAGCAGAAATAGAGAAACAACTAGGTTATTGACATTGACTATCCTGGTATTGCTAATGTTTCACTTCCTGCTGAACGACATCGGCTTCAGTTTTAGTCTGGTGGTGGCAGTGCCAAATCAGCTAAGCACTTCCACCTCCTCAGGATGACACCTGATGCCATTATCATGCTTCCTCCAGTGTAGATGGTCCATCCGTTGCTTCCGGTGAACCAGAACTAGCCTCCTCCGATGCATCAGCAAGTGCTTCTAGCATGTTTAAGACCTCATTAGCGTCATCCAAATAGTAAATGGCCTTGCTTGGTTTCTGCCCGACTGTGCAGGCATACAGCGAGGTTTGGGGATCAACCATGCTCTTCCTCATACTATCAGCAATCTGTTCAAACATATCCTCATCCGATCTATCATCACCAATGCACAGAACGAAATCTGCTTGCCTTCCCTTCTCCACGAGAGTTGAAAGTATCTTCTCGGCAACAAAACCTTTGCTGACAGCCTGCAATCAAAGAAAAGCAGGGAGTTAAACTCGGAGTACCAAGTGACTAAATTTCTGCTGACAACAGAGAAATCAATTTCAACACAAAATCAAACTAAGGACTTTGATGAGCAAGTTTCATAGCAAATACAACTTAGATAAGTTTTACGGATTTTAAGCACATGCGAGTTCAAATTTCTCTCTATCCTTGCCATCATAACATGTCATGGAAGATGAATGATAGTATTATGGCCTAAATGACAGACTTCATAGTAAATTAACTCGAGTTAATGTCAGGTAAAGAGAAGAAAAACTAATAGGTACACTATTTTGCACATGGTGTGGGGAACGTGAACATCCACAACATAAGTATCAATTTCAACCATGCGGAGTACATAATGTGTTTTGGAGAAATTCAATACCTGAGGCTTAACCTCTACAATATGCTGGCCACTCTTTACAGAGACTGGCTCATTGGCCAGGACACTTTCCAAATGATCTAGCATTTCTTTCGCTTGTGCAGATCCAAAACCAGGGTCAGCATCTTGGTGATGCCAGACCAAAGCACTCTCTTTGGTTTCAATATATGATCCATCAGTTGCCTCTGTGTACAGTTTCATTACCGGCTCAGCCATATGCATCCATCCAAAATCTGATGTCTGATGCTGTAATTGCCACTGTTCGTCTCTGGTCCACCTGCAGACATAAGCAACTGTTGAGATATGTCCCAAACTTCCTAGGAAATCCCAAAGTTTAACATCACTTCAAACTCACAAATATTCAAAAGAATCCTATAAAACCATCAAAGAACACAGAAGTTTAAAAGTTTATACGACTGTTTACATGCAAGCGCTTTCGATATGCAAGTTGCAGAGTTGGAAGTGTTAAGCCATTCACAGCCTATTTTATCACCCAGATGAGAACAATGAATCTGCGCATATTGCCAGTAGCCCAGCTATCAATCAGACCTTTTACTGTGCTGTGTGCTCATTCTTGATTGAGCAATAAACACATATTGACACTAAAATAATCATACCAAATGACAGGACAAGATTTTTCGGTTATATTGAACTATCAAAGTGTTGTGTGGATGCAAAGATAAAGTATTGATGCATGGGGATAAACATTTCATTGATGATCAGCGTATTCATATGTCATGCATAAGTCCAAAGCTGTCAGCCAATAATAATTACAGTCTTTAATACTTACTATCAGTCCTAGACATATAGCTATCCTGAGCAGGTTGCCTTGCTGAAACATTTACATATCTGATGTGTGATTGTCACTAAAAGGCATGATTGTCACTGCCCTTATAGTTTTTAAAATAGGAATGACGCATTGCCAACATGACAATATCAGAGTAGGTAATGGGGTTGCACTGAATGCATCAAAAGCACGGCAGCTATCAGAATCATACAGATAAAATGCAAAGCATATTTCTTGTCTGCACTGCACTAGAATGCATCAAAAGCACGACAGCTATCGGATACAGATAAAATGCAAAGCATATTTCTTGTCTTTCTAGCACTTTTAGGTATATGTTTTGGTGATGTTTTGGACAAATCTGACATGACAACAGGTTCACCAAATCAATGTTGAGCTTGAGCCATCTTAATCAACAACAAAGATAATGAAATCTTTGGTTGGTGATTTTCTGCAATACAGAGTTTACTAAGCATAAACAGATCATGAATGAGCTGTTCATGTAAGAAGCTTTGGCTGATCTTCTAATCAAAAGAATAAGTTAGGATACGGAAATTGTAATAGTGGCATGCTGCAATGGGAGGAAATCTAAAGTTTTGTGACAGATTAATCACAAAAATAGGAAAATCTTCTCTTTACTTTCTTTTGAGAGAGTCAAGTCAGGAAAGCAAGCAACCTCTCAACATGTGACATTAAACTTCAATATAATTTTGCATTCATTTATATTAGCAGCTAAGATGAATATCAGTAGCATTTAAGGCAAAGAGGCAATGAAAGACACTAAAGAACTGTAATAAACTAAATAGTCATGAAAACTATGGAAAGACTTATACCTCATAAAGTAGCCATGTTCAGCAGCAATGCCAAGCTCTGGGCAAGGGTAAAACCATTTTTCAAGGCTATCCCTTCCTCTTCCACTTACAATAAAAACAACATTCTTCTTATCAGCACACAGGGTATTCATCATGTTAACAACAGTTTCACTTGGAGTCTTGTTCATTGTAGTTTGTGGTACTAGGGTTCCATCGTAGTCCAGTAGTATGATCCTGCTCTTTGACTTCTTGTAATCCGCAACAATAGAATCTACAGTAAGTTTTTTGAAATTGCGGTCAAGAGCAACCACTCTAAATCCAAATCCTAGTCCAACACCCCAGCATCTTCTCCTAAAATGGTCCCTACAGCTTCTCTCGAAATCATGAATATAGCTCTTAGACCAATAGGCAACATCATGTGAACTGACATACCGATAGTGCTTCTCATGTCGCAGTTGCTTCTCATTATCTGATAAAGCGATGGACTCATTCATCGCCTCTGCTGTTGACTCAAGGTTCCACGGGTTTACCCGAATTGCTGCACTCAATGATGGTGAGCAGCCAATGAATTCTGACACAACTAGCATACTTTTCCCCCGCGGTCTATCATCCACAGAACCATCCAAACCTGGAATTCCCTGCCTACACACAATGTATTCATATGGTGTAAGGTTCATTCCATCCCTGACTGCAGTGACAACGACACACTCTGCAATGGTGTAATAAGCCATCCTCTCAACACTTGACAGTGTCCTATTGACAAGCACGACAGGGCTATATCCAGACCGTCCAAACTGCTCATTGATCCTCCTGCAACTGTCTTCAATCTCAGTCTGTAGCCCCTCCAGGTCTTTCCCGCTGCCGCCTTTTGGGTTTGCAATCTGCACCAACACTGCCCGGCCCTGCCATTTTGGATGTGTCTTCAGCATCTGTTCAAACGCAAGAATCTTCAGATCAATCCCCTTAAAAATGTCCATATCATCCACACCGAGCAAGACAGTCTTCCGATTGAATTGGTTCCGGAGCTCCGCGACCTGCCGCTCCAGATCAGGCTGCTGGAGCAGTGACTGCAGCTGCACCATGTTAATCCCAACAGGCATGATCTTTATTCCCACCGTACGTCCAAAGTAATCGAGCCCAATGTATCCCCTCTTGGATTGGTACTCGATCCCGAGCATGCGGCTGCAGCAGGACAGGAAATGCCGGGCGTAATCGAAGGTGTGGAACCCAATCAGATCGCAGTTGAGCAGCGATTTAAGGATCTCATCACGGACGGGGAGGGAACGGTAGAGCTCCGACGAAGGGAAGGGGCTGTGCAGGAAGAAGCCGATGCGGAGGCGGTTGAATCGGCGGCGCAGGAAGGACGGGAGGGCTAGGAGGTGGTAGTCGTGGATCCAGACGTAGTCGTCCTCCGGGTTGAGGACCTCGATGACGCGCTGGGAGAAGAGCTTGTTGGCGAGGACGTAGGCCTCCCACTGGGAGCGGTCGAAGCGTCCGCCGTGGTCTGGGGAGAAGGGGAGCATGTAGTGGAAGAGCGGCCAGAGCGTCTGCTTACAGAAGCCATTGTAGAATCGGTCGCAGAGGTCCTTGGGGAGGAAGGCCGGGACGCAGCGGAACCTGTCGAGGAGCGCCTGCGCGACCTCGTCCTGCTCGACGGCCGGCACGTCGGCGCGGAGGGAGCCGACGTAGAGGACCTCCATGTCTTCGGGGAGGCCGTCGCGGAGGTGGAAGAGGAGCGAGTCCTCATCCCAGGAGAAGCTCCACCCGCGGCCGTCGGGCCCGCGCTCGCCGCGCACGGGGAGCGTGTTGGCGACGACGATGAGGCGGTCGCTGGCGAACGACGACGGCACGTCGGAGGCGACGCTGCCCGCTTGGTCCTCGTCGAGCTCCACGAGCGTCCCGGGCGTCGTCATCGTCCGCTGCATCTGCCTCGCCCGCGGCGGGCGGCCCCCGCCTCCGCCTCCGCCTCCAACTCCACCGCCGCCGCCGCCTCCGTAGTCGAGGGCGGAGAGGTTGCCATTGGCGAGATCGACCAGATTGGTGTAGGATCGCGAGAACATGGCGGACGACCGGACGAAACGCGCCCCAGATTGATCCCCCGATTCTACTTCTACCTCGATTGGATTGCTCGATCGATTGGTCCCGCGTAGCTGGGGGGGGGGGTCGGCGCCACGCAAGCAGACGCGCTACGCCCACCCGGACACGGGACATCCCCGAAGCCAAGCCAGGGGTCGACGACGTGTAGCCGCTGGCGCTGCGACGCAGGAGGACGCGCGACTCTGGCCTGGATCGCTCGCCGCTCAGGCCGCTCGTCACGTTGCTCTCGTCGCTGCTGCTCTGGCAGGGCCGCGGCGCCTGACGAGGACAAAAAAAAACTGATGTTGCTGCGGCGCCAGCTGTTGAAGCAGAGCCGCACACGGGGATCCCCGAGCCCAGTCTGCGCCGGTGGGCTACGCCTAGTTGGCACTAGGCGCTGTGCGGCGCTCGGTCGCATCTATGAATGCGGGTACGGGTAGCAGATCGAGGAGCGATGGGAAAGTACGCGGGGGAAATTGGTGATGAAATAAATGTTTGGCCCTTTTGAGGGTATTGTTTAGATTGTAAGTTTTTTAATCTGGACACTGTAGCATATTTCGTTTGTATTTGATAAACTTTATCCGATCATAGACTAACTAGGCTCAAAAGATTCATCTCGTGATTTACAATCAAACTGTGCAATTAGTTACTTTTTTTACCTACATTTAATGCTCCATACATATGTCTAAAAATTGATGTGACAAAGAAAGAATAAAAAAATTTAGAACTTTGAGGCAATCAAGGCGGAGGACGAAATCACCAGCGGAACTGGAAATCCGGTCGGTTCAATCATGTACTCCGTGTACTAGTGTAGCACATGTTTTTCTGTGTTAATATGCTATTTTTGCACGATGATCATTTGTTGCTTTTATATATTTGATGATCGATGGCACCGAATTTTTTACAATTAGGTTTTTTTAAAAGTTTCTCACAAATAGATCTCTGGTGCAAATAATTCAGAAAATGGATCCTTAACTCGGCGCCAGCATCAGGCGCCGAGCTAGGCGCTAGCGTCTCTGGCACCGAGCTCCTGGGCACGGTCGATGACCTGTGACTGCTGCCGAGCTCGGTGTCGTAGTTACTGGCGCCGAGCTCTCTGCATTTAACCCCGGCCCAACCTTTCCGCTCGAGCGTTCTTCCTCTTCTTTCTCCTCCCTCTCTGTTTTTTGTCTCCCCACTTCACCCTACCCCATGAATCGTCATATTGGACCTTGAAAACCTTGATTTGATCCGTAGACCTTGGAGAGCAAGGTATCCTCACTCCCCTCCTTATTTTTCGCATTGATTCGGTATATATTAGTCGGATTTTTGAATCTAAAAATCGTCATCACTTAGGGTTTCATTGTATCCCTCAATATATGTATTATACAACCGTAGGTTGATTCCAAGGCGTAGAAAAAGCTAGCAAACCTAGACGCATGTAGTTATGTTATGGGTTCATTGTTGTGGATCAAATGGGAAACCCTAGGTTTAGGGTTTAATGTTAACTGCTTTCGGTTCTTATAACGAAATTGGTTGTATTGTAGTTATGGTTCTCATTGATATTTATTTTATGATGTTTTGATTTATGTTTGTTAAATTACATCCGTTTTGTTAGATACAAGAAATATTTCAGGAGGAGTTTTAGGGAAAACGGGATCGTCCTCGAGAATTATACCCCAACGCATCTAGCAAAGATGCCCCCGTCCCTCGTGACCTCCCTATCCCTAACTGTGACTGTGGTTTCCCGGTCCATATTTTTCAATCGAGACATCCGGACACAGCGGCGCGTTGCTTCTACACATGCAGTCGGTTTAATGTAAGAAATTGTTTGCACTATCCTTTTTCTTTATATGTGTAGGTATGCTACTAATATTTTGTTGGAATCTCGTTGTGTAGGACCATGAGAGGTGCTTTTTCTTTCAATTGATCAATGGTGCAGACAAGTTTGATCCTAAGTACCACTTTTTCGACGATTGGTTTAGAGGGAGACATCCGCGTGAGCACTTCAAGCGGTGGGTTCCACCCCCTCCCCTAACCCTTCGCCAATAATGGCTAAGGAGAAGCACCTAGCCGCAGTTAGACGACTCGAGGAACCTCCTCTGTGCGATTGCGGAGATCGAGCTGTGATAAACCCTGAGAATACATTGGAGTTTGTGTGTCCAAACAAGCATGAAGTAAGTGCGAAGTGTATGTGTTGAAATCTTGAGCTATATGTGTTCATGTACTAATGTCTCATTATTTAGGTGTTTTCAATGACGAAGTGTCATTTCAAGTAGTGGTTGCATGGTCCTAAGAACCAATGGCCAGAAGAACCGCGGAGGGTTAAGAAAAAGAAGAAAGAAAGGGTAATCTACAAAGCACCTCCTGTCATGTGCGAATATGCTGTAAAATCCAACTATGGCTTAGTCCCTTCGAAGCTTGGAATATGCCATTATTGCGGCCATATGATTGAGTATGATGAGGTTCGTTATTTTTCTGGTAAACATGAAATCATATTTTGTTTCTTTTGCTAAGACATATATGATATAATATTCCTTTTGAACAAAGCACTAGGAAATACAGTTGGGAATGTTATGATGGTCAAGCTAAGTTCTTGGATGAACTGAAGAAGAGGCAACTAATTGCACGGAAGAGGGGATATGGACCTGACTACGTCAACCTATTCGTTAAACATCACAAAAAAAGATGCGTGAGTTTGCTAGACAGCGCGGTATTTGTAACCCGATCGATGTTGGGCTTAACAAATAGGGATTGGAGAGGCGGATAACGTTAGAGGAGGAGAGGACAAGGAATGAGGCAAGGGAGGAGACAAGAGTACAGATGCAGGTCTTGAACGAGCATGTTGCTACATTATGTGCCAGTGAGTGCTTGAAAACCTTTATTTTCGATGCCTGGTTTTAAATGTAATATAATCGCGTTGCTAACTGATTGCATTTTATACATGAAGGGATTGGTTGCAACGGGGAACATGCCGCAGAGGTGGCTCGTGCTAAGTATGAGGAAAAGAAGTTAGATGACCATAGCTCACGAGCTGGTCGCACCGTTCAATCACCGATTATGTTGTCTGATGAGGGGGACGAGGATGAAGACGACACTGTCAGACTGAGTGAGCTCATTGCTCTAGCAGAGGCGGGCATGCAGGCGCAGGAGGCTGAGGACGACACTGACAGACTTAGCGAGCTCATCGCTCTAGTAGAGGCAGGCATGCAGGCGCAGGAGGCTGAGGACGACACTGGCAGACTGAGTGAGCTCATCGCTCTAGCAGAGGTGGGCTTACAGGCGGAGGAGGATGACGACGCATTCTTCACTCAAGCCACAGCGGCCGCAGATGAAGCGGAGGCCGCTTACTACAGGCGACAGGTAGGTCAGAGCAACGCAGGTGAGCCTAGCCACAGCAACAGGGTTGTAGTAGAGGACTGGTACTCGGATGATGAATTGCTTACTCAGTACGTTTCAAGCTGAGGATTTGGAAGTGCATTTGCCCCTATGTCTACTGTTGGCACGTAGTTGTAGTATTAATATGTTGTGTAATGTGGCATAGTATTGAACTTTTCATTATTTGGTTGTTTTCATTATCTATGGTCTTAATATTCCGCTTAATGATACGAACGTATTGAAATGTGAACTCGTGAACTCTAGGATCATGGCGGACGGGAAAGATACGTCTCATCATCTCAACATCACTCTTCGTCAGCTCTCCAACAGGGCGATCATTATCAGAATCAAGAGCCCTAGCCATCTCATATGGCTCCGAATCATGCATAATTTCAACACTATTGGAGCCACGGAATCCATCTTCAAAGTGCACTTACACAGCAACAGGGGGCACATCCAAATTCTCAGGAATGTCTCCTGCAACATCATTACAGAAATGAGGAAAGAATTAAAGAAATAGATATACGGAACGGGGTAAGCTCCCAAAAACCATGTGGTTAAGACACTTACTCGGATGATTTTGTGTCAAAGGGATCTCATAAGAAGGATCTTCCATGAAAAAATGAGTCTGACAACCATCTCCAAATACCGCATTGGAGGCTGATTGAGCATCGGGAACCGTAGGTGCAATCTGCACATGCAGGTAAGGTTTCGGAACGGGAGGGTCGATGTGTGCCTGATGATCCATTGCTGGGGTAAACCCATGAGGGATGGGATCAACTAGCACCCGACGCACAACCACGTCCAAACATTGCAGCTGGCTCTTTATAGCCGATCTCACATAGTTCTCCCACTGATCCGCACAACCAATTGAGATCATTCGTCTGAAGATGTTCGGAGGACAACCTAGGTGCAGTACACCATCAACTGCAATGCCATCATCTCCAAGGCAATGCAGCTCCTCCCGAGCCCTTGCAACCATCTCACTAAATGAAGGCCTATCATTGAATAGCACAGGCACGCTTTGCATGTCAAGAAACTCAACATATCCATAGCGATCGCTTTCAATGGTGCCTCCATGATATATGGTCACTAGGTTATCCATCTAGTTCAAACACGTAACGAAACACATGTCCTTTAGTCCAAATTAGATGATAGATAGTACCTAACAAGTACTTTCTAACTACAAACTAAGTAATCAAGATAATAACTACGTATATATTTACAGTGTACTCAGTAAATAGCTAGATCATATGTAGTTAACTAAATATGTAACTACATATCTAACTAGCTATCTAACTATATCTATGTACCTATGTATCTATGTTTCTATCTATCTATATATATATATCTCACCAGATCACTAATTAAATCAACTACCTGAGTCATCATATTAACTAGTAAATAACAAATGCTAACTAAGTAGGTACATTGCATATTTATAATTTTTACCTTTTCGGGCCGGCAGACGATGGGCGTGGGTCAGGCCGAAGATCCGGGCCGGCGGTGGCGCGCGGCGGGCGCGGGATGCCCGGGGCTCCACGCGGCGAGTCCGGTTCAACGGGCGCGGGAGGCACGCCGGCGGTGGACGGCGGCAAGGCGGGGCGAGGCCGGCGGTGGAGGGCGGCAAGGCGGGCCGCGGCCGAGGCCGACGGTGGAGGCCAAGGCGAGGACGGCGGTGGAGAGGCGTGAGGTGGTGGCCAGTGTGTGGCCTGGGGGCACCTCGGCAACTGTGCTGACCGTGGCTCTGCAGCCATGCGTGGCGTGGAGCGCAGTGGCGCGCGCGGCGCGCGGCTGGCGCGTGGCTTGGTATGATGGTTTCAGCGAAGCGGGTGTAGCGGCGGTGAAGCCTTGGCAAAGCGGCGATGGCGGCGACAGTGCTTGGCTAGAGCGAGAGAGGGAGAAGAACAGGGGAAAGGCGTGGGCCAATTAGATATTTCCGAGTTTGGCGCCAGAGTCACTGGCGCCGAGCCTCCTGGCAGGTCATCGACCGTGCCTAGGAGCTCGGCGCTAGAGACGCTGGCGTCTAGCTCGGCGTCAGCATCAATGACACCGAGCTAAGGATCTATTTCCTGAATTCTTTCTGGCAGAGGTCTATTTGTGAGAAACTTAAAACAAGCCAAATTGTAAAAAATTCGTCGTACGGCACCCGAGGCATACCAAAGAAGACGTGTTCCAGGAGAACAATGATCTAACGGATGACAATTGACAAGAGCCATCTCAGTCAGTGGCACCGCTGGACCGTCCCTTTCCTACCGGTTTGTTAAGACTAGCTGTTGACGCGTGCCCCTAGGCGAGTAGTGAATATATGGTTCTTATAACATGTAAAATAAATGAGATTGATTTGCAAAGGAGGTTAAGACCCTCCATAATGTTGCTGTTGAGTGATGCCTAAAAGAGGAGAGAGAGGATTCTAGCATCACTTCCTCCATTGCATGGCTCTGTTCTGCTGCCATTATAAACTGGTTTATCAATCATGGTATAATATTTTTCTCTTTCAATAAATTAGCCATGCAAATCAGCACAGATCGATAAAAATATTGTTTTCTTCGTACCCATTGAGATGAAGACGGCAAAGGCCTTGTTTAGTTGCTCTCAACTCTTAACTTTGGCACTATGCAAAAAAAAAGATTTCCCGTCACATCAAACTTGTGGTACATGCATGTAGTACTAAATGTAGACAAAATAATAAACTAATTGCACAGTTAGGTTGTACTTTACGAGACGAACGTTTTGAGCCTAATTAATCAACGATTGAACAATTATTACCAAATACAAACAAAATGATACAGTATGCTACATTACGTGCACAGTAATCCGGCGACGCCGAAACCGGCCAACTAAACAAAGGCCAAAACTTGTGCAGTGTTGCAGCCTCTCCCGGTGGCTGGCTGAGTACGGCATCTACTTTTTCATTTACTTTTAACTGGATTGGAGGGTCCCACAAGTTATGCTTGGTATTGTCCACCACTGTAAGCTAATTCGAGTGGTGCTACAATTCATACGTGGAGGCTGGTGATTTTTGGCACCACGGGGACATTGTGGAAGGCCTTAGCAGCCATTTATAAAAAGCACATTTAAATAATAAACATTCTTATGATAGTTTTTTATCACTGTTAATGTGGGCATGCAAATATAGTGGTTTTAGGACATGTTCAAGCACTAAGATGGTGTCTTGATCTGCTTGTAGTGGCATAAGTAGAGATAGATAGAGATTTTTTTTCTAGGCGCTAAAAAAGTTTGGTTTCCGTTCTTGGTCTTTTTATTTTTGAGGTTACTTCTTTGGCCCGAAATACAACTTTTCTTGGAGCATCTTCAGTAGTACTACCTAAAACGAACTAACTATTTATCTGTTTGAGTAGCCACCCAATTTCATACCTAAAACAGGCTACCCAAACCTATCTTAGTAGAGACTGACAGATGGGTCCCACGTGTCATTCTCTCTCATGTTCTTCTCCCATAGATGAACGAAGCAGGGTGGGAGGTGGCACGCTGGGGCGGGCTCGCAGCGTCGAGGATAGCCACCACGCCGGCAGTCGTGTCCACACCGCACCCATGCTAGGGCAGCCCGTTGCGCCGGTGGCCGCACGCCGTGCCAAGGTAGCTCGCCACGCACTAGAGGTGCCCCGTGGAGGACGGTCGGCGGAGGAGGGCCATGTCCAGATCTGCGCGGAGAAGGGCTGGCGGCCGCGGCGTCTACCCTGTGGGGCGTCGGACTTCCCTGCGTCAACGTCGAGGCTCCCCAGCGGTGGCGTCGGACTCGGGCGAATAGAAGACTCGCGTGGGGAGGAGATAACCAACGAGAAAATAGGTATTCAATTGTGGCCCAACAAAAGTAGGTAGTGGGAAGAGAGATTTATTGGGCCAACAAATTTGAATAGTCTGATAGGTAGCTTGATGGAGTGCATTTTTGACCTCCACTACCCAAATGTCGGATAGGCAGTGTGTTTAAGTAGCCTGCTAGAGTTGCTCTTACGTGGCGTTTGTTAGATTAGGCCACCAACGGTGTTAAGTTAGGCGTGAATTGACATTTTATCCTTGGGCGGATTCTTACTTATTCTCAGAGGAAGAAGATAAACGAACACTTGGATAGCACCGAGCGATCCCCTACCAATCTCTCGATCTCCACCATTATAACCCCCGATTGGGCATCCCTAACACGAAGATCACTATACTGTTGAACGTAGGGTGAATTCTGAACCAGGATAAATCGAGTTGTGTCCCTTCCGTGTTTTGAGTGTCCGAGGCACTGGAGACTCACGCATCGACTTCCAACGAACAACCACGATGCTCGCCGCGATTACGAACCCACGACACTCGACGTCCCTGGCTCCGATGTGTGCTCGGCGGTGGCGGACGAGCAGCCCGACGGTGGCGGCTATGATGTGGCCTCCCTCGTATCCTCGTGGCTCCCTTCTCTGTCGGCGAACGCCAGCGCCTCTCCTCCGCCCCCTCCTCTCATCCCCGGCCACGGTCCTCCTCCGCCACCCGATTGTCGCCGCTCGTTTTCCCGATCTAGTGAAGGGGCTAAGGATAAGGGGCTAAATGTAAAGGTATAAGAGAATTAAATATCAAATAGAAGTAAAATTATTTCTTAATTTGTATAGAGGAAATGGACTAAACTCTAAAAGTAACTACAAGTTGCAACAACTCCTCGCAGCTCCTCCACAACAGTTCCACGAAACGGCCAGCTTTACCGCAGCTCTCGACAGTTTTTCTCATAGCTCCGCAGCCTTTCACACAACCACCACTCAGAACAGCCACAGGGCCTCCTCATCAGGCGAAAATTGGGTGGGCAATGGGTGCATGGAACCACTATGCGCCCCTAGATAGATTGTCGACGCGTGGCCAGCAAACAAATATCAAGCGAGTTGTGGACTTGTGCTGCACTTAGGTGGTGTTGGGATCCCGTGACTAAAATTTAGGAGGTGTGTCAGAATGATGTTGTATGGGGTGTTCGGATACTAATAAAAAAACAAATTACATAATCCGTCAGTACTCCACGAGACGAATTTTTTAAGCCTAATTAATCCGCCATTAGCACATGTTATTGTAGCACAGCATTATCAAATCATAAACTAATTAGGTTTAAAAGTTTCGTCTCGCAAATTAGTCGCAAACTATACAATTAGTTTTATAATTAATCTATATTTAATACTTCATGCATATATTCAAACATTTGACAAAACAACGACTAAGGAGCCGAGAGTCTGACCGAGCCTGCACGTCGCTACGCGTCACGGAGGCTGCACGACGCACGTTGACTTGTTTTCGCTGGCCACGCGTCGACGATCTAGCCAGGGGGCGCACGGTGGTTCGACCCATCACCCACCCCATTTTTCCCCCATCATTCAACTTCTTTCCGTCTGTACTACGCAGTACGCGAGGAAACCGACTGGCGGCCGCGGGCAGACAATGAGAAGTTGGGTGAGCCCTTCCTCTTCCTCCTCGTCGATCTCTTCGCGGCAGGGTCAGATCGTGGCCTGGGATTGGCCGCCGGGTTCGTCGAGCTGCTCGTACCCGCACTCCGACGGCCCGCCGCCTGCGTTAGCCCCGCCTTCGCGGGCCGTGGACAGCGATGAGGAAGAATTCGGCGGCAGTCCACGGGCGGCTAAATGCGCTTGCCTGGAGTCCGGCTGCGGGGATAGGGTATGCACCGCAGATCGGCCGGCCGGGGACGGCAGGGATCGAATCAGCGATCTCCCAGACGCCGTCCTTCTGTCCGTCCTCTCCTTGCTCCCCCTCCGCGACGCCGGGCGCACGGCAGTTCTCTCGTCGCGATGGCGCGGCCTGTTCGACCAATCCCTCTTGGACTTCAACGCGTGCCAGCCGTTCCCACCGGAGGGAGGCCGCGGCGGCGGCTGGTTCATCCGCGCGATCACCGACATCCTCGCCGCCCGCCCGCGCATCCGCATCCGGAGTTTCCGGTTCGTCATGTACGGGTGGGGGTTCGACGTCCGCCTGAGCGTCGTCGACGGCTGGTTCCGAGCCCTCGCGCGTCACGGCGTGCGGGAAATCGACGTCGACATGTTCTACGCAATCTCCATGCCGACTCTCCCTGGGTCCCTCCTCGAGCTCGCCTCCCTCGAAACCCTCAAAGTGCATTACTGCAGATTTCCGGATGCCTGGCCGGCGCCGGTGCCGGCGCCCGCGCCGCGGCTCCCCGCCCTCAAGATACTCGACCTGTCTAGTGTGAACGTGTCCCAGGACTCCCTGCAGGCCATCCTATCCCACTGCAACTCCCTGGAGTGCGTGAAGCTCAAGAACATCATTGGACTGGACAAGATTTGCCTCCGGTCCAAGAGCCTAGCACGCCTGTACGGTGACTTCGGCGACTTGAAAGAGCTCGTTGTTGAGGACGCCCCAAACCTCGAAGAATTGGTGGGGATTGGTTTGCCGAGCGGCAAGGTGAAGGTGAAGATCGTTTCCGCGCCCAAGCTGCAGGTGCTGGGGTACCTCGGGATCACCGTCCGGCCACTGATCCTCTATGACACCGTGTATGATGTAATGTTTCTTCGACTGCTAGTCGCAGCTCTGATCATTTCGGATCATATGGCTCTGAAACGGCTCTGACTTCTGAATCCGATCATTTTCTGCATATTCCAGGGAGGGATCGTAAAGCTCAGCACAATGATGCACAGTGTTAAGACTTTGGCCATCCAGGTGCCCTTCTCCGAGAAGGGATACACCGTCTTTGTTGTTCAATTGCTCAAATGTTTCCCCTGTCTCGAGGTGCTCCGTGTCGAGGTAATACTATAACCTTTATGCTAACTGCTTACCCTCTCTGATGTGTCAAAAAAATTTATGTCTCATTCCTGATTTTGTGTTCACAACGCTTCACCCGTGCAGCCTAATAAGCAGTCCATTTCCCAGCGGGTCAGTGTTGAAGGATGGGACACTGCAAATTCTATTAAGTGCATTGAGCATTCGATCAACAGAGTGGTGTTCGAGTATTTTGGAGGGGAAGACTGCCAGTTGGGATTTCTGACCTTTCTGCTTAGGATGGCCAGAGCTCTGAAGCTTGTCGAGCTCTACTGTTGGACAAGCAAAGATTGGGACAGTGACCAGATTGAGCTAGTGGAGCCTAAACATAGAGCATCTCCGGATGCCGAGATCCATTTTTTGGGAATCTATAAGCCGGCCAGTGACCTTTACCTATGCCACTGCTGCACTCAGCGATGCCAGAAGGAAAACAGAGTTGCTCTGTTATAAGAATTGAAACTTGTGGATAATTTTAAGCGGTAAAATAATATGGGTGCTGGTACTGTCTGGATCTTGCTTTTAATTTCCAGTCAATCAGAGCCAACGCCGACATCTGAGATTAGCACTTTAGTTGTTCCCGAGTTGATGTATGAGTGTGTGTGTGCATGTGCTTACAATTTCAGGTATTGAGTATTGAGTAATGGGTTTCTAAATTCATCTAGGCCTGCAAAAGCAATGATTATTTACCTCTGAAGTGTGTGGAACTATTTATTTAGTTGAGATAAATGCATGAGGGGACCTGAACTTGTCAACGAATGTCATTTAGGTCATAAACTTTGAAAACATTTTTCCAATGGTGCACTGCATGTCCCTAAACTTGTTAAGATGCATAGTATTGTTTTGTTCTGATGCATAGTATTTCTTTGCCACTAATGATTAGCGTAGTTCATGTTATTAACTGATATTGTTTTGTCCTGTTAGCGATGGTGGATGGTGGATGTTTCATCAGGACTATAGAAATATTATACATATATTTTGTTATAGTGCTTGTTTTGTTTTCAGTTCTTAACAAAACAATGATAAAGACTTCTTCAAATTTTGAGGATCTTATACGCAGAGGGAGCTCACTACTATCTGTAGTACAAGTACTGTGATAATCTCTATTGAGTTTTCAGTCACAAATCCTGCTTCAAGGGTCAGAGTTGAAACTTGAGTTTAACAAATCTTTAATGGGGAACCAGAACTAATTTTTGAATATGCTAATTTTGTTGTTTGTATGCTTTGGGGGTGTATTGATGTTTCCAATTCTGTTAGCTATATGACCTGCACTAGCCAAATCAGCCATATATTTCTTCATCCCTGAAACTGTGAGTTGGCGGACCTAGCCGAAAATTTCAGGTAGGGCGGACCGCCAAGTATATCTATCAAATGTCACCGATATTTCGGTTTAACCATGAATATATACCATATTTATATTGATACATCACATGACGATTCTATTTTAGTCGGTAAATGGACAATAGGTGTTAAACTTGCATTCGTAAAACCAATATTGATAAACTGAGGTGGAGTTTGATACACGACGATGGTTTTTGTAGTTGCAATTAGGACTAACAATAACTTCGAATGTATATCAAGAATAGCATGTTCACGACTAAATTGGCATTCAGCAAAACATTGGGAACAATTGTGGATTTTCAATCAAAAGCATCAAGCCAAGAATAAGGGAAAAGATAGCTGCGATTTGCAGGTACACTGCTTCATGTCTGCACAATACCTGCTAAACAAGCCAAACAAAATTAAATATGCTCCACTTACTGTTACAACAAGCTCAATCAGTACCAACTTTCTTCCTTGCTGCCCTTGCGTTATCATACTCAAATTTGAGCACTTAAACTGCGCACAGCAGCTGCGCCGCGGCGGGCGTGGGAGTGGGGCAGTCGGTGGGGAGCCGCTGCCCGCCGGCGTCGCGCACCATGCAGCCACCCAAGTAGGAGAGGAAGGGCCGCAGAGGGATCCTTGCCGAGGGCGGATCCAGCGTGGGGGCAGGGGGGTCTCGAGCCCTTGGAGCCCCCACGCAGCCCCTCTCCATTTTTTCCGCCATGGCCAAGAACTTGGAGTTGCTGGAGGTTGAAGACGACTCTCGTTTCGCGTTTTGAGCCAGTTATAGGCAGTATAAAGGCCGAGTGATGATGGCCCTCCTTTAACATATTGTTGGGCTTTGTATCTTTTTTCGCTCAACAATTGGACCAACAAGAAAGCCCAATTACTTTAAAAAAAACAAGAAAGCCCAATTTTATAGCCCATCCCCATGACCCATCCGGTGGCCAAGGCCAACCCTATCCATCCGGAATCAGATCCTCACATAGATTGCACTATGTTTGAGGGACATAGTTTCCATCCGTCCATTCATCTGCTAACCAACGGCAAGGCCATCAAAACAATCAATACACGAGTCCGTCCAGCTGTATATTTACTCGGCCCAAGAAAGCCTAGTTCGCTGAGCTCGCTGGCTGAGTAAAAAGGGCGCGAGACCAACGGAAAAGGGGGCGAGGCTGGCAAAAAGGGGGCGAGGTTAACTGAAAAGAGCGCGAGGAAACGAGTCGATCGTAGAGCTTGCCGCAGGAACGATCTTCTCTACTCACGTAAGTCTCACGTCAATACTGCTCTTTAATGTATTTGCCATGAATGGCTTATGGGATTCATCATAATTGCATCATTATGTTTCTTTGAACTTGAAGCTCTCCTTTTCTCATGGATGAATGGTTTAGTTGAGATCCTACTGCGATGGATGCAAATCAAAGCAAATCTAATACTCCTGTCATGGGTGAACATAGGTGTGTAATAAAATTTCTTGCTTCTTCGTTAGAAAATTTCCCTTTGTCTATACAGAGAGGGCTTGATCCCCGGTCTGGTGCCTCACCTTGGCATGGAATTTAAAAATTCTGATGAAGCTTAGGCATTTTGGCTTGCTACAGTGGACATAAGGGCTTTGAGGTTAGAAAAAGGTATACAAATAAAAGGCCATGTGATGGCAAGATTACATCATGTAGATTTGTTTGTGCAAATGAGGATCATCGGTTGCCAGACAAAAGAGATCATTTAACAAAGTGTCATCGAGCTGAAACTAGAATTGATTGTCAAGTTCACATGAATCTTAAAATTGACCGGGAAAAAGGAAATTTGAAAGTGAGTGAAGTGTTTTTGGAACACAATCATGCACTACACCTGCTAGCAACCTTGCACCTAATGGCGCCACAGAGGAAAATTTCAGATTTACAAACTTTTGAAATTGAAACAGCAGATGATGCAGGAATTGGACCAAAAGCTGCACAACTAAGAGAGAAACATAATTGAAAATCCTAAGATGGATGCTATGCTTCGGTTCAAATATATGTCCCATAAATTTCTCAATTTGGCACATTAAGCAGCTATCTCTCCTGAGTGCACAATGTTAGTGGACAGCACACTTGACATCCTTGGTAAGCAAATTGCATAAAAGATCAATACAAGTACAAGCACTTTTCAGGATTCATGTACAGTTCCACAAATGCTAATCCACCAAATGACTTGTTGATTAGTGCTAGCCTAAAAAAAAAGATGTCCAAACAAAAAGTTCAAAACGAAAAAGAACATGGCTGGATAAGAAGCACAAGGCTAGAAAAAAGAGAGAAAACAAAGCTACATCTCAGTTTGGTAAAGCGGGTAATAATGATGTTGTACATGGAGAAGAGGCAGGCAGTTGTGGAGCACAAGCACAAGAGGGATTGTCTCCATTGTTTCCTGAACCCTTTTAATTCAAGTGGTGCACAAGCACAAGCACAGGGTGCATTCTGTCCATTTTTCCTCTGAAGCTTCAAGTTCAGGTGGTACACAAGCACAGACAGAAGTTAGCTTTCACTCAAATGTTGACGGTAATATGCTCGTATAGCTATTTCACAGATGTTGAGATAATATTTCGTTTTTAAAAGAACTTCTTCATTTAACTTGCAGGGAGCAATGACCAATGACCTTCTATCTAGATTCTGGTGATATTGTTATGAAGTGTTATTAGTATTTTGATATATCAGAACTGTATGCAACATAGCAAATGTTCCCAGGTGGATATAGTTCATGTTTCTTTTACCACAAATCAGTTATCTGGTGCTAGATGCTATGCTCCCAGGTGGACAAAATCAGTTTTTTGTTGCCAATCTACAAGTATTTTGGAAGCCAAAACTGTACATATAATTTAGCTTTCTTTTGCTACGTTGCAAATGAGCATTCTAGTACCATTGGTACATATTCCACCATTCAGAGTTCTCGAAACAATCGTCACAACAACATGAAATATCAAATTCACAATAATTATATTCTCAAACTGGCAAGAATTATCCAATCATCACAAAGTTGAGCCACAATCTCAACTGACATCAGTTACACAGTGGCAATTCAACCCTACTACTTGTCTACTGCTGGTCTGAACTTTGGAGTTCGGCTTCTCAAGGTATGAGGACAGCTGCGCTGCACGCGGAAGACAGCACGGGCACGAGCTCAGGATAGGATGGCGGAGGCGGACGATGAAAGAGAGCACTTTACCGAAGACCTGCTTTCCTGCTCCAGTGCCGAGGGAGGGAGGCCGCGAGCAGCAACAGCCACCGGCTGGCGGCCATCTTCCCAGGCACTGTAACGGTGGCGAGTGCTTGGAACACTCCCGTCCTTTGCAGAGAATGAAGGCAATGGAGGAGAGAACTTTCTAGGGACCTGCTTGCCTGCTCCAGCGCCCGGGGAGCCGCGAGCAGGGAGCAGCAGCAGCTAGCCGACGGACGACGAGCAGGGCGCGGCGGCAGCGGCGGCGAGTGTCTGGAGCACTCCGTATTTTTTTCGACTTGTTTTGTGTTATCGGGGGAATTCCTGTGTGCCATTAAAAAAAGATCGCAATGCCCTGTGTGCTCCTAGAAAAGTTCAGCAATCTTCAGCGTCACTGCTCCAACTTTTTTATGCCCTCCATGCCATTGCCGTCAGTTTGGGCTCTAACACCGTCAAACTGCAGGTGTGAAAAGTCAAAAATATCATTAAGTCTAAATATGTCATTAATTTTTTGAGCATCTTAACAACTTAAAATGAAAAAACTCAAAACTAGAAAGTTGTAGATCTCGTCGAGATCTATAATTTTCATATAAAAATTATCTTCATTTGATTCTGTAAAAAATTATATATATTTTGCAGAATTAAATAAAAATAATTTTTATATAAAAATTATAGATCTCGATAAGATCTACACCTTTCTAGTTTTAAGTTTTTTCATTTGAAGTCGTTAAGATGCTTAAAAAAATTAATGACATATTTAGACTTAAGGGTATTTTCGACTTTTCACCCCTGCAGTTTGATGGTGTTTGAGCCCAAACTGACGACAGTGGTATGGAGGGCACAAAAAAGTAGAGTAGTAACGCTGAAAACCACTGAACTTTTCTATAGACACAGTGCATTATAATCTTTTTTTAATGGCACACCAGAAATTCTTCCTTTTCTAAATGTGGACTGTGCCGAGTATAAGGGCCGAGGTAAGAATCGAATCGCTTCCGTGCTTAGGCCTGGTTTAGTTCAATTTTTTTTTACCCCAAACTATCACACTGAATCTTGCGGCACATGCATGAAGTATTAAATATAGATGAAAAAAAACTAATTACACAGTTTGATTGGAAATCGTGAGACGAATGTTTTAAGACTAATTATTCCATGATTAACCATAAGTGCTACAGTACTAACATACGCTAATGATAAATTAATTAGGCTTAATAAATTCGTCTCGCAGTTTTCAGACCAGCTATATAATTAGTTTTTTTATTAGTATCCAAAACCTCTTCAAAAATCTCCGAAACATCCGAACGTGACATCAAAAATTTTCGTTTCGCGAAACACAACCTTGTTTCTGCTGCGCCGTCGGATGCCCAACTAACGTCATCGGGCGTAGGTACGTCCCCCTGCTGTACTTCGCAGTATGTTAGACGATCTGGTTCCCGGCCGGACGGCAGCCACCAGCCAGCCACCACGCGCCAGGGGCAAGCAGCGTGCATCGCCGCCGCCGCGTGACCGCCCGCGGCCTGCCGCTCGCCGTCGCCGCCCAGTGCCGACTGACGACTTCCGCTGCGGCGCAGCCGACTGCCGTCTCCGTCTGCCGAGGCCCGAGGAGCGGAGGGCCGAGGCAGCCGTCTCCGTCTCCGTCTGGCCCCTGCTTGCTTTCAGCGCTAGCTCCGCCACTGCAGCCAGCCACCCGCGATGAGCAAAGCAGGCGGCGGCCCCGGCTCGGCCACGGGCCCGACGGCCGCGGCGGCCGCGGCCGCGGTGCAGAAGCGGAAGTCGCTGCTGCAGAAGGCGGACGCCGACGTCTCCAGCCTCGTCTACAATTTCTCCTCCCTCATCAACATCGCCCGAGTACGTCCGTGCGCCCGCCTTTCCCCCCTCGAATCCGGCAGCCTGAAGCACTCCGGACTAACCCTAGCTCGGAATGCCATGGTTAGGTCAACGATCCGCCAGTGCGCAACTCGCAGGAGGCCTTCCAGATGGAGACGCGCGCCGCCCGCATGGTATGGACCTGCTCGCTGCCCACCAACCGTTAGCGGATTTGATTCTGAAACTGTGTTTGAATCAGGCATCCCTAGTTAGTTTTTTTTTTCTAGATACATGAGCAAAATTTTGGAGCGAGTACATGTTATATTACACAAAAAAAAATGTGTACCGTGGTTTCTAAGCCGTTTTGGCATATAATATTGTGATTGTTCTACTTCTGCAGTGCCCCAAAATTGGGGTTAGAAGAGAGATAAGAGCATCTCCAGCAGTTCCCCTATATTTCACCTCCAATAAAATGATATTGGAGATCCCCCAAAATCAATTTCAGGTTTATGGGGAGGAGTGCTTCAGCAGTCCCCCAATAATTCATCCCAATAAGCTCTCTCTTTTTATTTCTCAATAATTCATCACAGTTCAAATAATTCAAACTGAAACTGTATGGCAGTAGCAGTGTTCAAATCACAGTGTCATCCCAATAATTCATCACCGTTCAAATCAACAAATTCCAAACTGAAACTCAAAAGGTATGGCAGTAGCAGTGTATTAGCCAAATGACTGTATGGCAGTAGCAGTGCATTGACCAACCGACTTGCAAAAAATACTGTATGGCAGTAGCAGTGTTCACTTGAGCTAGAGCACATACACCTCAAATTCAAATTCAGACATAACTTATGATCCACTACATAACTATGACATATGGTCCAAATGCACGCACACAGATCATCAAGCACTGCTATTTTCACCCCCACTCCCATTCACTTCCATCCTAGACACTAGAATTTGAGCATGCATTGTTTCAACAAAGGCTTTTTGTGTTTCATCAAACCCACTAATGTCCATGAACATTATCTTGCATTCCTGCTTCATCTTCTTTGTTTCCAGTTTATCCTCTTCAATCTTTACTTTGCGCTCCTCCAAGGCCTTGATCTCATCCATCTTGATTCCTTGTCTTGCTTCTTCCCAGCCTCCAACTCCTTCCTTGATGTAATCATCTCTTGCACTGCAGTTTGAAACACAGCATGATCTCCTCCCTTCTTTACCCGCTCTTTCTCTTGCTTCCTCCCCGGAGGCCTCTTGTTGGCGGGCATCGCAGATCTTAGAGTCGGACTTGCTGTTTCCTCCTCGTCTTCCTCATTTCCTTGGACAGAGCCTAGAGAGCATGTGCTTGACTTCTTCTTAAGTGGATGGCAGTCATTGTTCCTTTTCACCCACTTCTCATTGTTTTCGAGCAATGACCAACAATGTGCCATCACAAAGGTCTTGTGTTTTGGATCCCTCTGCTTGTACAACTCTTGGCAATACTTGATCTGTCAAATTATACAGCGATGAATGACAATCAGATAGGGGCCATCAGTCCAACAAATTCACTTATGCATAAGAAAATAGCTAGATGCTCAAAAAATAGATGTTTCCGATCAGTCCAACAGTACCAGCAAATTAAATAACCCACTTCTGAAATTCCAATCGAATCAACTCAATATTCAGATCAGTGATTGTAGTTACTCTTGTTTATTTGATGGCTAGCAGCTAGTTGAATTAAATAATCTCAGTAAACACTAGTATGCAATCAGACTCTGATATATCCAAAGGAAATCACAGCAGCCCAAGAGAATTATTCCAGCAAATTTGTTGATAATTTACTTACCCGATCCTGAATTGTCGCTCCACTTGGCGGGGCACGATCAATCTCCTCGACACAACCTGCCCATCGGTTGCAACACTCTTGAATTGAACTCCAATGGTGCGCAAGTGAACCGAGGGAGCGGCTGGAGGGGGTCTTGACATTACGGTGAAAGTGATCATAAATGCGATTCCAATATGTGTTGCTACTTTGATCAGTCCCAATGATTGGATCAAGGCTCACACTCTCCCATGCCATGACCAAGGCCTCATCCTCCTGCGGGAGTAGTTTGCTGATCTTGCCCATTTTTTCTTTTTAAGGGGATTAATCTCAATGGGATCTTCGTTTAAACTTTCAAATGATATTGGGACAGACATGTAATCTATATCAACGGTATCGATCATATCAACGAAGGACTGATCACTGCATAAGGCACAGAAGCATAAAATAAATTGCAGTACTGTATTGTAGATATCTCCAAATTTTAGTACTGTATGCTGACAAAAAATTGTGCCTGAACCGTGACTAGGGGCTCATGTTGGGTTTCAACTCTACCCTACCCCAACTTGCTTGGGACTAAAAGGCTTTGTTGTTGTTGTTGTATGCTGACAAAAAATTATCTGCTATCTGAAAGCTCCAACAAAAAATTATCTGCTATCTGAAAGTTCCAACAAAAAAATATCTGCTATCTGAAAGCTCCAACATGTAAATTTCAGTACTGTATTGTAGATATCTCCAAATAAAACTCTATGTTATCTGCTATCTGAAAGCACCAACATGTATTCTGAACAAGAACATTCATTTACCTTCAAGAAAGCGCCGACAAAAATTACCTTCTTCTTTAATAGCAAAAGATCAAGAATATTCAGTACTCTCATGCATAGTGCCTACTACCTGCTACACGGATAGCCTGGCAGGGCAGCAGCTTTCATTTTTCTTTATTAACTTTTATTTTGTTATCAGATCACAGGGAGCACATCTAATTTGGAAACTGATAGTAGCCATTATATTTCTCTGAAGCAGATTATCATTACAAGTAACTTAATATTTACATTCAGCAAAGGTCTCAAGAGACCTCAGTTGCTTGCAGCTGCGATTCAGTATGCCCATATATTTTCTGTTGAGGATTCAGATTCTAATTCTTTTAACCAAACACAAGCTAATAGATCTTTGCTTTACAGCCTACCTAAATTGGTTCAACTCCAGCTGAAGAACTATACAGCACAGTTGAAGTCTACCTGAATCTAAGCATACCTACTTTTCAAACAACACAGCTAAATAGTTTTGACTACAAATTACAGATAGGCACGCACAAGCAAACAGATTGCTCCATATATGAACAAGAACAAGATAGCGACCAAAATATTTCAATTTCGTTAACAAAATTAAAGGGGGCGAAAGGTCAAAGCTTTACCTTGCACCGAACAGGTCCACGCCGACCACCTCCATGGACATATCCACACCGTGGTTGAAGACGGTGGCTGCCGGCGGCAGGTCATGCAGAGGTGGAGCATTCTTGGCTGCTGGGGAGGCGGTCACCTTCCTCTTGCGGTTCCCATCCTTCTGCGCCACACCTGGGACCGCGTGCTGCCCTTGCCGATGCCGCCGCATCTCCTGCTGCGAGGGTGGAGGAGGGGGCCTCTGCGGCGCTCTAGGGGCCGGTGTGGTGGCGTTGGGACGAGGGCCGGTGGCGGTGGAATCCATCGGGGGAGCACCGGATTTGGGGGTGGCTGCGACGGTCGTCGTTGGGGACGTCGAGTGGGAGGCGGCGGAGGCCGATGGGGACCTCAGGGCGGCAGCCGGAGAGGAGGAGCTCGACGTGGCCGCCGGGGAGCGAGGCAGCAGAGGGAATCGAAGATAGCGCGGGGCCCGCGGCGGGACGCCAAGCGACGTGCTCGCGCCACTCGCGCCAAAAGAACGGGGTATTGGGGGCAGGGTGCTCTCCCCTTTCTTTGAGGGGCCAGGAGATGATTTTTGAGGGACTGAGAAATTTTTTTCTCATTGGGGATGATAATGGGAAACTGCTAGAGCACCTCAAATCTCTAAAACAACAAAACTTTCTCATTGGGGATAAAAAAGGGGGACTGCTGGAGATGCTCTAAGTAAACTGCATGGTCTGATTTTTCTTATAAAAGCAACAGATTATTGCTTTCTCGTTTGTCTGGACATTACTTTCGCTGTACTTCTGTGATTCTGCTGGGGCATGGGAAGCTAGAAGGCTGCACATTTGTTCCAAGCATACTATACTATAAAAGCAGCGCACGAGGTTCTTCCAGGTTTTAAGTTCTGACAAGTTCAACTTGGCTCCAATCTAGTTAATTTACTTGACAAGGAGGAGTTGGGTTAAGGTTGCGTTGGATTTGCGGTCATACAAGAAGGGATCGAGTTCGGAACGATGATATACGTGATAGATTAGGGTAGCACCAATTGAAGAAAAGCTTGTCCAACACCGGTTGAGATGGTTTGGACATGTCCAACGGAGACCTCTAGAGGCACCGGTGCATAGTGGAATCCTAAGCCAGGATAGTAACGTGAAGAGAGGCAGAGGAAGACCGAAGTTGACTTGGGTAGAGGCAATAAAAGGAGACTTGAAAGGATGGAATATACCCAAAGACTTAGCCTTAGATAGGAGTGCTTGGAAAACAGCTATTCACGTGCCGGAACCTTGATTGCTTCTGCTGGGTTTCAACTCTAGCCTACCCAAACTTGTTTGGGACTTAAAGGCTTTGTTGTTGTTGTTGTGGTTGTAAGGAGGAGTTGGGTTCAACCAGCTGTCCTCTGTGTCATTGTCATCAGTTTATATCATGCACAGCATAGAAGCTGTTGGGTGATGCAATCTTATTATAGCTTGACTGCTTGAGATAGCCAGGCTGTAGAATCATAAAGGATATGCTTCCTCCGATCGGTGAAATATTAGTCCTTCTAGATTTGTCCTAAGTCAAACTCTTGTACCTTTGACCATTGATATCTAAAGTTTTGTATAGATTGACAACACAAGATTCACATTACTAGATGCTTTATAAAAACTAAAGAATATTTTATGATATATATAACTCTCTTATATTCAATTTAAGGTAATATATCTGTATAAATATTGCTACTCAAAATTAAAAAAAGTCTCCGATCAGTGGAAGTAATATGCTAAGATAGATGTCTGTCTGTAATATTACATTGGATACTCCTACTCCATGGTGATATGATATGCAAATGTGATACTGCTACAGGTGTGACCTGCCATTGGGTTGTGGTATCGCCCAAATGAAAATGAAGGAGCTAGATTAATGAGGATATTATTGAAACAGGGACCAGTTGGGTAGAAGCAAGATATGTATAACTGGAGAAGTGTAGATGTACATAGCACTATCTCTGAAAGATAAACCTGGGTTGGGGCATGAGAACCTGGATTTCATTTAAAGTCATGCATTTAGAGCCGATGTTCCATGATAGACATAGCTTATTGACATGACAATAAGAGAAGTTTACCTTAGAACTGACCCTACTTAGGTCACTATAGACAAAGTGGTCATGGAAGACAGGTGAATAACCATTTCCCCCCTTCCATATGCTATAGAGGAAAGTGATGTTTTGCTTAATTGTCTCTGACATACGCAGTCAGTTATTTACCTAAAGCAGAATCTAGAATATGATGAAAATGGCAAGAAGAATCATGTATCAACTCTTGAGCTTTAAAATTTCTGATATTCCCTTGTGTCTTTATTCTGTTTAGGTACATTCAGCAGACTCTCTGTTGAAATTAGTGTCGGAACTTAAGAGGACAGCCATCTTTTCTGGGCTTGCTTCATTGAACGAGAATGTGGATAGGAGGATAGAAGTGCTGGGTCAGCAAGCTGAGGGAACTGAGAGAATGCTGGAGAGGATTGGGCAGGAGGCAGCAGCAAGCCTCAAGGAGCTAGAGGCACACTACTACTCATCTGTTGTGCGGTCACCATCCTATGATTGAGGTTAATCTTATCATTCCAGGATAAAATTGCTCGTCTTTCTAATATGCAGTCATTTCACATATGGTTTAACAGCGATTGTTTGTTTGATCATTGGAGTATCACTAAGTTGTAGCAGTGTTAATGTTCGATGGAATGATTTAACCTTAGTGCTAGCTGTATCTTGCTTTACATATAATACTAAAAAACTGCCTGCTGAACTAAACAAGCCTGCGGATGTCTCTAGCTGTACAAAATGTCCACTGATATCATTTTTGAGTCCGGATACAAGGTTAGAGTAATTTCTAGCGCGAGGGATCGTTCTTTTGTCCGTAGTGATTGTTACATAAATTCTGAATGCCAGAACTCCAATGAATACTGAATTAGAAATGTCAAAGGCGCTAGAGCTCCAATAATGAATACTGAATTAGAAATGTCAGAGGCAAATGATAGGTTGTAAATGATGTTGTACATTATGAGTTATTCTACAAATTCTATATATATATTTTATTTCATCTCGTCACTGCAGTGTATGCAATGGGATTTACAGATCAAGGAACAGCAACTGTTAATTACCTAATTACCAATATTAAGTGAGGTATCTCGTCATTACAAATTTGAGCAATTTATTAGAACAAAAGAAGTCGTGTATACAGGTGATGGCTTACATGAATCTCTGTAATATAAATCATACCAAATTCTCAATTTAACTATATTTATTGAACAAAAAACTATCTTATCTTGGGCAAAAATGATGGTATGATGTTGTGTTTAAGCATTAACCAAGGCAGTGACATTTACCAATGTAAATGAAATGTAATGTGTAACATATCAGGGATTGGCCGATTAGACCATAATGGTAGCTTCTTGTTAAGAGGACCCCATACTTGCTGCTGATGCTTCAAATCTGATTATAACGTTGACAGCTCGAGATCAATACGACAATACCCACTTTTGTAGATGGTGGGTATATGCTACAGACCAGATTGGCAACGAGTGATTCTTGATTGAACTTAGATCTTCGAACTGGATTGCCCACGTCATGAAATGGATTGGATGGGAGTGGATTCGATGGATCTTATAGCCGGCAGTCTTCTCTAGGGTTAGAGGATGCGGACATGCGGTGGCCTTGGCTATGGTTGCAGGTGGCGGCGGACATTGTGCTCTTGCTGAAGAGGTTTGTTTGCTTGAGAAACTGCACTTGAGGAAAGCTCACATCAGAGAGAACTGAGTGACCAAAAATATAAAATAAGAATTATTTCAATGCTTTGGTTACAATGCACAGTTAAGTTATACTCATGAACTGGGTATAGTTATATTATACTCAGGAGTAGCTTGCAGTATTAAAAATGACCAGTCCAGAGAACTCAGTTATAATTCAAAAACACTTGTAGTAAATTTATGCAAATTTGATCCTACTTGAGACAAGTTCAATTTACGCATATTTTTAGAATTTTAGAATTGTACTAACTTGGAGATGCAAAAGCTGTCTGCTTCTTGAGGAAAAATTGACTAAGGATGGTTCAAAGAAATTGAGCATGAAAGTTTTCTGTCTTAGCACTTAAATACTAACTAATGAATGTGCATTTTCCATCATCTGATTAGACTTGTGACTATGGAAAACACTTGGGAATAGAAAACAATCCGCTGTGCTTGGAATCTATAGAGTGAATTTAAGTATGATATTGAGTAAGATTTTATAGAAAAGCATACGTAATACTAAGGCAATTTCTTCCCCCAAGTCATATGTTTCTATATAATCACTCCCTAAAGTTGCATGTTCCATGATAGCTTGCTAGTTTGTCCGTTAGATTGGTTTACTGAAAATTTAATTTTTGGGACTGAGTCATACATATTGAAAGTGAGTTTCCTTGGCACTGAACACTGTTTTTCTCTCTTGCTCTCACCTAGTTGCCCTGCCTGCTTTGTCTTAACGAAAACCTTTTTTTATGGAAAAGGACCATTGGAGACAATCAGACAAGGAAGAGCATTCATCTTCCTTCCTCTGGAAATCAATTCTTCAATCTATAGGATGCCTCCTTTAATTTACACATTGGCACTCATCACCGAATAATCAAACCAATCAAATGGAAGTAATGAGTTACCTGAGGTCCATGATTCCGTCCATGTAGATGTCATGGAAAGGATTGTGGAGCGTACCGTGTTAGGTGGGGTTGGACCTCTTGTCAAACACCTTGCAGGCAGCACAGCTGGCCCGGTAGCACAGCGGCGCGGCTGCACCGGCCGGGAAGACGCAGCGGTCAGCATGGTCGGCGAGATAGCCGGAGGCACCGCCATGAATCAAACCTTCAGTGATGTCCGCATGCGCGTCACCGGCGTCCAGGGACTACCGGACCAGTCGTGTCCCCGGAGAGCGTCGTCGCGTCGGCGTTGGTGGGATGGCTCTGCCGCGGACTGCCGCGATAGAGGCACTCTGGATGAAGACGCCGCGGCCTGCGGGGGTCGGTGGCGCGTAAGCAGACCCCGGGCGTTATACACATTCATCTGCTCGGGGCTGGCAGCAGGCAGTAGGCGGCGGCTCTAGAGGTCGAGGTGGAGCGGGAGGAGATGACGAGGGCCTCGTTGCACGAGTGGTGGAGCTCGAGTGCGAAGCGCCGGAGAGGGCTCGCGCCGCCGTCTCGGAAGAGGTGCCGGCGGTGAGGCTAGTGCTGGGAACGGATGAGATGCAAGGTGCTCGTCCTAGTGGGTTCGAGACCATTCGCAATAGGGTTCGTGGCTTACGGGGTAGAGACCCGTGTCGGACGGACCAGATCGTCGCCTTCGTTTGGGCTAGTTTGGCTTATAAGCCATGACTGAAAGTACCGTTGGCTGATTTGGTGTGAGAGAAAAATACAGTTCGTTGGCTGATAAGCCATGGTTTATAAGCCAAATATGACCAAGCGAACAGGGTGCGTGAGAACGCCCGATCTAACGCAGGTTATTGGATGGCTCAATTGCGTGCCCAAGCTTGAACTCAGGTTTCGGAAGGTAGAGATATAGGTGGAGGTGCGTGATGCATAAATGCATAATTCATAAGGTTATATATCTTTTTGATTATTTATCTAGTATAATTTTTTTATTTATGTGTTAATGATTTAAGGATAAATAGTTCACAAAGGAGGATAGAATCATAGGAAATGAATTTTCTAATTCAGATTAGAAGGAAAAAAGAATGAATGTAAGTGTTATGGTATGGTTTTGAATACTCCAATAAAGGAAGGAGGGAGGCTGGATATGTTCATTGCAAATATATCAACAATAGAATCAATTTAATTCTGAATTGCAATAAGCGAGTGGGGTATCTCAAATAGAGATGAGCTGCTAGACTATGTCAAATAATGTTTAAAAAAACTAAGAGATGGATGAAATTATACAAGGAATCCTGGTTTCAAAACAAAGGAAAATGGGGATACACGAAACTGGTATATGCTACACTCGACTGTACCTAATAAAAGTACATGAAATGAATCTTCTGTCATGGCATTTACACGGGAAGTATAAATGCTAGAGGACCTTGGATAATGGACTTGCTGATGGCTATCAAATTGATTGTCTTGACCCATAAACTTTGACTGGGTCTTGACTGATGAAGACTGGAACAGATTTCTTTTGCTTTATTGACTCCATACAATTGAATTTGCTACAGAAACTCGTCTACTGAAATAATGGAAAAAATTGTACCAATGCAGCAAGAATTTCTTATAATCTGTTTAAATCTTTAGATGTTGACCATTTTTATTTATAATATTGAATATTGCCTACTGACATTATTTGTAGAAGTTGGATATTAGTTAATTTGCTGTTCTTCATGGTTGCAGGGCTATCTCAGGTTATCAGTTGATAGGCTGGCACAATAACAATGCCTGCTGTATCTTTTGTAGAAATCACTTTAATTTATTAATTTTACAACAACGGTAGTCATTTCTGAAGGCTATTGTATTATTTTGACTTTACTAACCCACAGATGTAATCATTGCTTTCTTTTTTCCCTCACCATTCTCACCATACATTAGTACCTGATGCTTATGAGGTGGATAAGATTCTTAAGTTTGCACCGGTACTTAATGTGTGCTAATAAGGTAGTTGAGTCTATCTCATTAGTTTGATAAGGATAGCTAGGGCTCGATAGAGAGGTCGAGCCAAAGGAAAGGAACATCTTAGATTATCCGAACAACTAGGATGAGCTAGGCTAGGAAAAAGGATATCTCTTGTTCGAGAAGTTTCAACTGACTAGGTTTTGATGCACGGTTGCAAGTGGCTAGGCTCCTTCGGGAGATCTTCTAAGGCAAGCTGAACTTGATTATGGGATAGGATTGGGTCTTACGAGGAACTATCAAAAAGTTTTAACAAGGTTGGGTTTTGGGTCATTACAATTCCAAATGGTGAAGGAATTTTCATGCAGATGCAGCTTTGTTTTATGGCAGTATTGGCGTGTGATTATTTCTGTTTAGACTTTTGTTTCCCTCTGCTAAGGAGATTGGAATGTCGTTTTTTCCTGATAGCATTTTTTCCCCTCCGAACACGTCAAAGGGTTTCCTTTTAGCTCCAGCAACCTTCCGTCTATATTCATACTGTTAAAAGGTTTGATGAATAGGATTTCTGTAGAACTTCCCGTGCCAATGAGTATATTGTGTAAAGTGTACCCTTCTACATTTGCATTGGTCTGTGGGTAATCCCAAACCTTCAAGTCTTCTTCATTGAAGGTTATTGGTGCCATGGACCATGTTAGTCTGTTCAATGGGAGCTGGGGCGCTATGTTTAGTATCCTTTGTTGGTAGTCTTTGTGGACACGTTTGTTTCCGTGGTTTTGATTCAACCCTTCGGTGATTGTGAATATTTGACTGAGAGATTAAGAGAAGGTATAATGTTGTTTACTTCAATAACATGCAAAGCATTATTGGGTTGGTTTTCTTGTTTTGGAGTATTCTGCTGCTATATTTAAGTGGTTGACTAGTGTACTGTTTTTTTTTAGAATTTGAATCCTCTCGAAATGTGCCCTACGTTTTCTCCGCGTGTGAAACAG